CACCATGAGCCATTCTTAACCTGATTCATGCACAACAATCCAAAAGTGAGCACAATTTGTGCTAGAGGTTGACTCATCTAGCGCAGTAAGGAAGAAATGGTATTGGAAGACAACTCAAGATTTGGCGCTCTCACAAAGTTCAACGAGTTTAATGTACGCAAAGCTGCTTGGGGACAAAAGTCATTCACTAAGAAGTTGAAGTCTCAGAATTCGCAAAACTTTGCATAATGGGATTTGCTGCCGAATAATAGCATACTCATTCATCAAGTTGACTCCTCCTTTCTTGTTTACTGTGAGAACCCATACCGTAACCCTACTGTTACCTTACAAAAAAGTCCCTACCATGGGAAATATCGTTTTCGTGATCAGTATGTCAGATAACCCACCTACGCAAAGTTTCAATTAAATTTGTGATAATCTATGATTTTACCCCTTGTAACATAAATCCACCGTAGTCCTCACTGCGAAGTCAGAACTTTGCAGAACTGTGACTGCGATTGTAGCTTACGTCACTACCTATATGATGGGAAAATTTGAGGGCGTTATATGTAGAGAGAGAAGTTATAAAAGTAGTTGCATAACTTAGTTAACAGCTCAATAGAATCGTTTAAAAACTCCCACAGTCATCGACCGCAGAAAAAACAATTACATGAGATACTTACTGTTTATTTGACTAAACCGTATACACCACATGATTTCACATTAAATTACTGTTCGTTCCTCATTTGCATCACATTTTGTCCGTGAGCAAGCTATCTGTTGCGTGCATGCCATTACTCGAAAGTACTCTGTTCTGACACAAACTTTCCAGTTCACAATACTTCGATAACAAAGTTTTTCTGCAACGATTTATTACTCAATTTCTGATGGCTTTGTAATGCTTTAGTCGCAATTTTCTCTTTAAACCAGTTCTTGAATGCAGTTCCTTTGCTATAAGTTTTCGCAGATAATGTAATCAATTCACTGGATAGTCTTTTTAGGAACTTCCTTAAAGCTTTTACAGAAAAAATAATTTTATGCAATGAGAAAGACCTTCTCTCGCGAGAAATTCCCAAAGCTCCTAGATCAAATAAATTTATCCTGTCTAATCCCATCATCATTTCGATTACATCGCGCAGAAAAATGCGTACGCTAATATTGCCTTTCGTTGCCCGGAAGTTCTACCATAGTACATTTATCGGTTCAAGCTTATGGGATAGTATAATGTCCTCTGACAAGATCAAGATTACGGTATCCTGAGCTTTCCTTAGGATAAAGACAGTCGTTAAAGGCAGCGTTCAGGCAAAACCTCCTCTTTTTTGCCTTATTCAAGCCATTTCATGGCGCTGATATAAATATGACACCCAGAATGCGTCTATTCCTCGAAAAATCCCATTTTTGAGACAATTTTGTGAGAAGCGTGGACGAGTGCTTCTCATGCTATTTTCGTCGAAAGCAAGCATGAACAGGTTACTACGCGTTACTGTGGTTACCACGTGAAAACAAGTCAAGGGTTGGGGAGAGTTCGTTCAAGGGGCGGGCGGTGCGAGGGAGTGGGCGTGGTCCTCGAGGCTCGGCGTTTTCTGCGCCAATTTTCGCTTTTTACAGAGGGTCCACATAATTCGGATGTGCAATAGTTTTAGATCAAAACACTAGTAGGTTATGATAGTATCTTATAATGTCCAAATCTGCCCAGACGCTGCCTTTGAATATATATGTGTAATAAAAATCAAAGATGATGCGCAGATAAATCTGACTACCTGAACTCTCATGCGGTAAATGCTGGGTAGGCAGTCATAAACCAAGCGGCACCTTGAATGATTCATTGCCTGAAAGCTTCAACGTGAACTATGCTCCAAACTGTACTTTCTGCCGTAAGTGAAGGCTCTGATTGGTCCGTTAGTAAAAATTACGGGCTGAGATGAAATTCAAGGTAAAAGTTTTATAGCCACACATAAATCACGTGCTGCCGTTCCGGCAATGATCAAGGCCTCTCAAAATCCATAAAACGATACTGAGTGCTGCGTTCAGCAACGTATAAGTCACAATGCTTTAGAAAAGCTAAGAATTTCGTGCCACTCTGGTATATCCTTGTGGACCATGGTTCAATGTTTCAATTGCTGAACCAACCAATCAACTACTTGTTATTAAATCAATAATTGTGGGAGACAGTCAAAAGGCGCAATTTCTCCTGTCATCAACTCAAATCAAATTCATTCAAAAAGAATTTTCAAAAACTAACAAAATGCTTAGCCCACTAGCTGCTTGCTGAGTTTGACGACTTTTGCAGAGAAACTGAGCTGAATATACACAAATTTACTTCAGTTCAGTTCCAGGTTTAATCTCTTCTATTAATGTTCAAAACCTATCTCGAAAATAAGTATAAGCAATCCATGCAGCTACACTCCGTTCCAATCATAGAGTCCTTATTCACTGCCCAGCCGCCTCCGCTCTTGCGCGGCGTTTCACTTCGGCTTAAGAATCAAATCAGACACTCGACTGGAGATTAGCATGCGAGACTCTACGGATGCGCAGCCGCGTAAAAAGAACACTGCTATTGAGACAGGCTCTATATTATGTGTGTCCTTAGAAATTACGAAATGCTTTCAGTCTTTCATAAAACCCTCGACTACTTGCTCTTCAATGTCCATGTGACCACAAATATTACCCCTTAATATGCAAGCAAAAGATACTTATCCATACACTACGATCCTTGTTGCTGTTCGCTTGGAGTCATCTAGCTCTTCCTGGCATACTGGTTTGGTGAAGTCAGACAGTACTATATATCCACCATCAAATTTTACTTACTTATTAGAATCAAAATCAATTTTTTGGCAAAATGGGGGCAGTACCATCTCCATGGATGACATCAATTTAATGTTGATAAATATAATCATAGAGCAGTCCAAGCATTCATCACATTACTATCTAGTCCACGTTAGACGCGGTTAACTGAGTAACCGTGCTTTTCGTTCGCTTGTAGGGAACGCTAAGAGCGAATTGAATAAAATAAATTAGAATAGAACAAATATAGTTATCAGAATTTAGTCGATCTGAAAAGGTAAAACCTCTGATTTGATTTACGATTTTCAATGAAAGTTTGATCATTTTTTTAGTCTGAAGAATTCCCGAGATTTGCAAGAGAGCACATTACTCAGGTCATAATCTAATAGTTCCACTATACGTGATTCACTTTTGGCGTGTTGATAGATTTTAAGAATAAAATGCCTTTGAAAACAAATTTCTTATGAGTCATAGATCAATTCATGTCATGAGCAAAGCATGAAAAGAGAAAACTGGATATACAGATGCCACCGTCATGCCTTCCCTTTGAGATAGTTTGTTTTAACTAGGTCCTATCAGGAATTTCATACTGAAAAATTGTACCTGTAATTGGTTTTCATTTTGGCTCGAGAGCATACTTTTTGGTATTCAATTCTTCGTTTCATTATAGCGCTCATTCAGTGACTCTTGAATACCGAACTGTTGAAAGTGCTCAAATCAAATTTTTATCTTCAAATTATCATCTGAATTTGTTGAAATAATTGCCGGGAAAGCAATTCAAGACTGAACAAAAATTCTGGCTTGCGGTTATTTTTGACCCATTGGTTGAATTGACGTGTACTTCTGCCCTCAAAGTATTCAAAAGCACATAAAGTTGATCAAATGAGAAGTTACGTCTCTCGTCTGCAGGTATTTTGTTCAACGTCTATTTTGGTCAAATTGACGTAAGCGATGGGGTTTACCAAAAAGGAAATTACAACTTGATCTTAGTGTTCTGCGTACGCTATGTCTTGCACTTTTTGCGCAAGATATATATGTTTGCCATAAGCCATGCATTATGCACTTCTTCAACATTTGATATGACTTCGACAATTTCCTATGGCGGCCGAGATTTATTCTTATGCATAAAACAAGATCTATGCAAACCAAATGTAAGCATGTCGTTCATAAATCTTGTAAAAATATCATTCAGTATGTTTTACTTTTGATTTTTGTTTCCTGATTTCTGCTATGAATTCTGTGTTAAGCCGGCTTAATAGCAGCAAGAGAACTAAGATTCATTGACACTGTAGTTCATATTCCAGTCATCAAATAAAGCCAGATAAAACTAAATAAAACAAACTTTACAAGGGATTTTTACGAGTAAATTATCTATTGAGAAACAATACGTGTTGGATCCAACTGGTACCTTTATTTATACTTCCAGCAAATCGTAATAAATTTCGTTATTCGTTATATTCTTGGGAATTTCCAACAATTTGAATTCTCAGCTTTTTGTTTGTTAAACACTCTCTGAGGAATTCTGAACTAATTGTTCAAACCCTTAGAAGTTTCTTAAAGGAACTTATTAGAAGGGGTATTCCTTGATTTCGTGCTAATAATAGGATATTATCAGGAATTACTACGATAACCGTACTTTAGGTGATGTGATATCATTTGAATTTTGAAATGGCATCATGAAATTGAATTTTCAAAAATCACTTCATAATTTATGGGTATTTGTTGTTTAACGCTCTAATAAAGGGCCCCGAAGTTTCCAAAAAAAGTCAAAGGCTCATGTTGAACCTTCAAACCCATGGTCTCAAAAATCAAGCCAACCATTCAATCATTGTTTCAAATATCGATCGCAAAAGGGAATCCAAGATAAATAAGCAGAGAGAAGCAGAAATTTGCGTTCCATTATCATCTAAATAAGTTCGCGGTAGAATGCGCGTGTTGAAATTCCACTTTAAATTTGGAACTTTATTGAAAGGTCAATTGAATTAGCAAAAATTATATGCTATTGTTATCATGGGCTCCCTTTCATCCATTGCCTCACACGAATACAAAAGTCCAAAAGATCAGCAACTTGAAAAAAAATCCAAACACGATTTTGCTTTTGCTCCGAAGTTGATTTGCATGATTTCGCTACCCAGTAAATCCAGAGTTCGTCATAAGTGCAAGTGATTTGAATAATCTCGATCAATAATCAATCAGATATAACAAGTTATGACAGTAATTCACGGTGCATTTGAACTATGACCCCATTTTTCAAGCGACTCGCTTCAAAATTTAGGAGAAAAGTTTGTTTCACTCATTTAAATGTTTTAGTTTCGATAGATCACTTCTTGAAGTACTTGATTCTATGAGCTTATACCAAAATAATTTGTTTAGGTTATGACCACTTTCACGTTTGTGCAAGCATCCGAAAAAGATGAAGAGAAAGTTCTTGAGTTTCTCTTCGCACAATTTGCCGTCAGCGATCCAATTTCGAAATCAATAAGTAAGACTTTATCTTGATTTGACTGATCTATTACTTCATCTTATTTTTTAGAGTTAACGAAAGGCGATGCGATTGAATTGTTTTGCGATTACGCTAGATTAGGCACAAACAAATATTCTACACTAATATACGACGATCGCGAACGGTAAGTTCAAAGGAATTTTAGAAAATTTATGTTTGTAGAAATGGCCACTTCTACACAAGTGTGGGTATCTGGACCTCCTATGTAAAAACGACTGAAAAGCCTTAACTAAGACACTATCCAATAGACAGATCATAAAAATTTTTTCTTGAGCGAGAAGAGGAGGGCAGGGAGAAAGGGGGGGGGGGGAGGGGAATTTTGAGAATCTTAATTTATTCGGATACTGAATTTGAGGTTCAGAGGTATATAAACTTACAGTTTCAGACTGGCAGGTATATGCTTGTGCTCAATGATTGAGGCGAACACCGACGATACTTTAGTGAAAGCACAAATCGACTTCGAAAATCACGATTGTGCCGAAGGTAAGCCATTCATTCCAGTTATTTCACAATTTTTATGAAATGAAAGTACTAATCCTATACTTACTAAGTTTCAGAAATAAAAAATGGTCCCTACAAAGAGCATAAGGCAAATGCAATCAAAGTCCTTGCGGATGCTCTAGAAGACAGTCTTTTGCGAATAATTGGAAAACACAAGAAAATGCTGAAAATTGACATACTGTGCATTCATAAAGACTATGTGGGGTAAGTCGCGTTCTCTGTGCTTTTCACCCCTTAGCCTAGCAGTAAAATTTTCCAGAAAAGGACTAGGAAAAGAACTGGTTCGACGATCCGTGGAAACAGCACAGGCGGAAGGCTGTGAATGGGTGGTAACAGCTGCAATGGCAACTGTATCTCAGAACTTATTTGCGAAGGCAAGCTTGAAAACTGATTAGCAGATATACATTTTTTAAAACTTCTCTCTCTCGTTTCACAATGTTCAAGCATTCACAAAGAATCATGAAAGACCACGAAAAATCCGAGGTTGTTACTATTTAAGACTCTAGCTTTTCTCTAGAAAGTTGGATGACTGCAATTTTTAAAGTTATACACTCAAAGAGGAAAATTGTTTTGCCACATCTTTCCACAATTGTAATTTTCTATCAATCAGCACAGTTTTTTGAGAAGACCAGGTTGTAAAACCCATGATTGATCAATTTTTCTGGGATCATAAACATATTTTAAAAACTATTTCGAACTTTGCAATCCTTTTGTCTTTCTTTTCATGGGTTGCCTGCACATGACAGAATGATTTTGCTATGAGCGACGATAAAAGAGCACGATTGTCTCTATTCAAAGTTATGACCTAGCAAATTTCTCAGAGATTAAAAATGTTGATAAATGGCACTTGTGCTTCAATATCTCTTCTCCAATTCAGGCAGGATTCCGAGTGCTCTACGAGGTCCCTTATGCAAACTATCGCGAAAATGGCAACCAAGTATTCCATGATCTCTATGATGGTTGCATTACAGGAAAAGCGATGGCGATCAAACTTATGTAGCAGAAGCTATGATTCTGTGATTGCAATTGTTTTGTGTTCACTGTACATTGTAATAAAAGTGTTTTAGAACTTAATTCTTAGATAATTTCTATGAAAGATGCGATAGTTGAAAAAAATCAAGAAAATGGTGTAAAAATTTTGATCCTTACAACCTTATCAATTCAATACGTAAGCAACTCTCAAGGTTTCTGATCTGACCAAAAAGTTGATCAAGCGTAAAATTAGCGCAATGATATGAATCACATGTTGCTGACAAAGGGTTTGAACCAGAAGGCTACAACTTTTTGTGACATTTCTGAACTTCTGCTACAGTAATCGAGGAAAGCAAACTTATACCTTTGAAACATAAACGCTTTCAGAATTTATCAATTTACCTCTCAACATCATTGACATATGTAATATTACTATTATTATATTACTGATAAGAAGATTATTAGAACAACATTTCAACCATTCAATTACGATAAGTCGCAGAAACATTCCGTTTTCTTTGAGTGTCCTCCTTCTTCGTCTTCGTACTTTTATTGGTTGTTATTTATTATGATTGTATTATCATAGTTGCTAGTGTGTCTAAGAGAGTTTATTTTTGTTTTTATTTTTATTACTATTAGTTAGTTAGTTTATTTTTATTTTTGATTTACCAATCTGACAGTGAATTACTCCTATTCTGCTAACAAAATAATCTCACATCACAATATTTGTAACTTGAGCGCATTACAAAATGTCTGTGTTTATGCACAATTTGTACCCTTCCTTCTTTTAACTCTCAAAATACACTTGCCTTATTTAACTTACAGCTCTTACTTAATTGCTAGTACCCTATTTTCAGGTGTATAAGCCGCACCCTTTTTGCTCTAAACGCGAGCAGACCCAGGCGTGCCGCCGCGCATATGTCTTGCGAAGCGGTCGCCTTATCGCATATTGCTCTCACTTAACGCGCTCCACGATGACAATCAGTCTTTTGGCGCGTTCGCCTATAGAGCGAAAAGGGTGCGGCTTATACATCTGAAAATAGGGTAAAGTAAAATCGAAGCCAGGTGCAAAATACAAATATTTCCTCTTTGATACGCATTCAAGCTATAGCTGCTCAAGTTCCTGAAATTTTTAGGTGATAATGACGGAGAACGTCTATCAACATTATGGTAGTGTGAACGCTATAGAATTTGCCAGGAAAGTCGCAGAGGATTATGATGCACGGGTGATTTGCATAATATTCTTTTTATGCAAGAGTAATGCAAACTCGTTGCAGGACATTTGTGAACCCTTTGCCATAATCGATCTGGATGTGGTTAAGAGACAGCTGGAGTTGTGGAACTTTGCTCTTCCATCAGTGAAGGTCACTGATAGCATATGACTATGGATTTGAAAAAAAGGATCAATAGAAATAATCAGTGATTTCTTCAGATAGATACACAAATTATAGATTTGAGCTCACAAGGGAATGGTCAGAAATCGAAGTGGCCAATTCAAGCAAGCTGCATACCATTAGATGGAGCATAATCCCCTGACACTAAGTCTGTCCTCCGTATCTGCAGAGTGCTTTTGTAGGAAGTTATAAGCCGTTAAAAGTCATTATTCTGCTATGAAATTGTGCGTGTAAAGGTCAAACTTGGATGTACAAAGCTATTCTCGGCTCAGTGTTGGACCAAAACATGTAACTAGGTCAGTTCATATGGCTCGTACCTAGAGGTGAGGTAAAAGAGCAATGATCTGCCTAATTTCGCAGTTTTTGTGGATGATTTTTTCGCAGTAAACCTGCTCATAACTTCGCCCACAAAGGCGCTCTGCAGATATGGAAGACAGATTTGAAATCAGCATTCTAAGCTGCATCGATAGGTATGCAGCATGTATTGATTGGCCACTTCGACTTCTGGCCATTCCCTCGTCAGCAAATGTTCGAACGGAATTCTTAATTTCAAAGTTTTTACAACTTTTACTTTCCGATTGTTTTAATCAGTATAGCTCCTATAAAAACGCTAGAAATTTTTAATGCGCAGAACCTTCATGGAGTAAATAGTTGTGAAGTTGTCTTGGAATGTTTTCATTGAATCAGCCCAATTTTTATAGCAGATTCATTCATTAAAATTCTCACTTTTTGGGTAGAAGCGGCAGCATTTGTCATCTTTGAATATAACCAAAAATTTATTGAAAGCGAAAGACGGAAAACTGGCAACGGAAACAAGAAGAAGATCTTTTACGCATTATACAGCAACTATTTTGAGATTTCGATACCAAGAAAAAAAAATTAAGTAAGACTGCATTTATAAGAATAGTGAAACTTGCGGCAGCCTGATAGTAGACCAAAAATAGGGGAAGAGTTATTCAATTAGCGTAAAACTCACTATATTATCAAAACTTGATTGAATTGATAGTTTGAACATGTACAACTAAAGAAATGATTGTGACTATGTAATCAGATTCCAGCCTTTTTATGCAGTAAAATGCAATCCTGATCTCAACGTCCTGAAAACATTATCCGCAAATGGCACGTGTTTTGATTGTGCTAGTATCACCGAGATAAAGCTGGTGAGTCTTACTGCCAAAATATTGGAAGCAGAAAAGTGCCATGAATGCTCCCAGATCCTCTCCAATAATTTGGCCAAGGGAAACGAAGTCATTGTGGCTCATCCTATAAAATCTTGGCAATGCATAGAATATGCAATAGAGAATGGTGTAAAATTGATGACAATCGATAGTGTTGAGGAGCTGAGGAAGATTACAAGAATCACAAAGAAAGCCAAGTAAGCATTTTTCTTTGTAATTTTTTTCCAAAATACACTCAACAATCATTATCATTCTCTCTTTAAGATTTGCTTATTTGATTTTCTATATTTTAGGCTAATTCTCAGAATCAAAGTCACAGGATTTGATGCTCTTGTGGATTTAAACAAAAAATTCGGAGCAGACGAAGTCACGAGCAAACTCATATTTCATGAAGCGAAAAAAATTGGCGCGAAAATTTATGGTATAAGGTATACACTACCTTTTTGCAAAAATACCCGTTTTTACAATTTTTGTGCAAAAAAATTAGAATTTAGCTTTCACATTGGCTCCGGTGTAGTCAACTGCCGTCCTATAGCGCTCTCATTGGCTAACGCTCGGAAGCTACTGGATTACGGTAGAATGTTAGGTCATCCTGTCGGTATAATAGACATCGGCGGAGGGTTTGTACCCACTAGCAATGCGGAGTTTTTGAAAGTAAAACGGGACCGCAATAGGGTTACTTTTACAAAAAGTATATGAATAAAAACATTTAGATCGGACATTTTGTCGAAAACACCTTGAGCACATGTTTCGAAGGAGTCGCAGTGTCCGTAATCGCAGAACCTGGGCGTTTCTTGGTTACAAAAGCTCAGTATGTAGCCACACGTGTTAATCAAGTGGTTCTCAAATCCACTAGCGGTAACTTCAGCTCAATCCTCAAGGATGTTAGATAATATAATTTTCAGAGGATCTGCCTGAAAGCTACAGTATCTACCTAAGCGATGGAGTTTACGGTTCATTCAATTTCGTCCTTACAGAGCAAAGAAAAGCCACAGGTTTTCCCCTATTCGTAAGTTTTTCTCAAATATTTGCTTGTTTCATATCTGCACTTCTAGAAGGAACGAGAAGGCTTTATGAGTGCTGATATTTGGGGACCAACATGCTGCAGCTTTGATATAATCGAGGTCAACTTTTCCTTCATATGATAACTAGAACCGTAGCTAAAATATTATATTAATAGCTCTTGTCCCTGATATTGAATACCTTTTACAGACTGACCGTCGCATTTCGACTGTCAGAGAAGGTGACTGGATCTTATACCCCGACTGCGGAGCCTATTCTTTATGCTTATCCACTCATTTCAACGGATTCCACCCTCCGAATGTCTTATACTTGACATCAACTGCGAATTGGTAAGTGATTTGAACTCTTGGCACGACAGCTAGTGTAATATAATATTGAAATTTCATCACATTTGAAAAGGAACTGGTGGAAAGATTGAATTCTAAGAGGGTTCACAATGTATAGGCAAATAGAATGCGAAAATTTTTATCTTTCACCAGACAGAGTCCCTAGATCAATGTCGGAAACAAGAAAACCGCTCCATGAGATGTTTAGGGAGTATATTCTGCTCGGGGGCTCGGTTTACCTTGCACCTTTTCCACGATAACACTGTCCGGACCACTTGCAAAAAATTCAGTGAAATTGCGTTTTGTGAGAATTTTCAGAAAGTATTTACCTTCCACTTCCTGCCCTTTTTGTTCTTACACTGCTTAGAATAATCAAAATCCCAAAAATCCCTTTCGGAATTTCTTATTATTTCACAAGTCTCAAGCTCAAAACTAAATATTTTATACCAACTTCACACTTTAGTTTTGGCAGCTACAAGTTTTGTTTAGGCAGACCATTGTAGACAACAAAAGAAGCTCCAAAGAAGATCTTGAAGAAGACAGTGCTGACATGTTGCAGAAAGTGCCATCAAAGTTGTAATAAATTGTAATAAATCCAAACTATATATGAAGTGCTTTGATGTGCTCAGGTTATTTTGCCTTTGCTGGAATTACGCATTTACTTTTTCATATGTGATAATACATGCATTAATTAATAGATAAAAATTGCAATTGATTTGTGAAGGAAGATATTCAGATTTAGATAACTACATAACAAATGCTGTTTTGACTATGGCTTTATCTCTTCTCACCGGTGTAATTCGCACGACTGTAATGCTTTCCGTACAGGACCACCGGCGCGCGATACACACTATGAGGGCTTTTGCCTAAGCAAAGTAGGGGAAGGAAAAATTTGCGATGTGCCTGACGTGTAAAAACAAGTCAAAATTAGGGCAGAGCTGGAGACCGCCTGCCCTCCTCAGTTCTTCAAAACCGACAATTATCTGAAGGCCAACAAAAAGATCTTCTAGTAAGAAAAACACCAATTGCTCCGAGGCAACTTGCTTCGAATGTTTCCTCTCCCTTACCCATTTTTCAATTTTTTCTATGATCAAAATTATTATCATCATCATACATGTAGCGGAAATTACAATCTTTTATCAAAACCAAGAAATGAAGTGTAGCTTACATGTTTGTTTAACACTTCCATTTTTCAACTATCGTTTTCAATTTACTATAGCTTCAGAACTTTGAAAAATCTAATCGTGTGACAACAGAAAGCAATATCGGCGTAGATTCAATGATTGCTTTGTATTACCTTTCTAGCTAATTGCCAGGCTCAGCTCAGTTGCTTTTGATCTATCATATCAGGCCCTCTTCCTCTCCAAAACTTCACCGAGAGTTGATGCTCCCCTGTCAAATCACTGGGAGACGTCATCTCATCAACTTTAATTTTTTCAATGCTTTACTCAAAGTATTCCTCAAATTAACCGTGTTATACAACAGAAAACTTTGCCAATGCAGAAACTGTTCTAGAAGCGTCTAATTTTCTTATTTAATGCGATTTGGAAAGTTTGCGGAACGGCTGCGAATTCCAGCACAAAAGCATTTTGCATCACTTCTTCCTGCCCCTCAAAAAATATTTCTCAAAGTTGTGTCATACAACAGAGACCTTTTCCAATGCAGAAATTGTTCCGAAACATCTAATTTTCATATCCAATCCGACTTGAGAAATCGCTGCGTATTCCAAGATAGAAAAACGCATTTCCGGGCACTTTTTACGTCGTCTTATGTCTCTCCCAACAAAGCATTAGCCCACCCCTGTTCTTATGATTTCGCTTCTTGATCATACGAAATGTCGTATTTTCTTCAAGGTCATTTTACTGTCTGCTTTTCTATTATCGAACATGGTTACTCTGTAAATATATTCTGCGATAGAGTACATCTCGATTGGCACATTGTTCACGCATTTTTCTGTGGTCAATAGAAAGGATTTGGATATCAGTAGCAGTTTGCATGGTGTAGGAAACAGGATCGCTCAGTACCGTAGGAGTCTGTATCGAATCTGAGCTTCCTCTGTCAAGAGCAAGTGAAGACCCGACGCTTTAGATGAATATCCAAGTATGTCTTCTTGTCTTCTGTCTTCTTGCCTTCTATAAATCGCAGAATATTTTTACAGAATAACCAAGTCGATAAGAAAAAAGCAGACAGTAAAATGACCTTGAAAAAACCACGACATTTCGTACGATTAACAAGCGAAAACATAAGAACTCCACTCCATGGAGAAGGCCAAGTGCGAAGGTCTATCGGTCCAAATTCATATCAGGTATTTGCCAGAATTACCGAAGTGCCTTTCTTCAGAGGTCGTGGTTCCTCATGACTTGAGCACCATCTTACGATAGCTTTGGTGTAATAAAGAAGATGACCCAATTTCAGGGCACCTTTGACGAGCAAAGAATCTGATCCTTGATAACATTCTCATTTTTTGGCTGCACATATCATGACGATTACTTACTTATGCCAGCCACAAGTGTTTAGGCAGAGCATTGCGGACAACGATCCTCTAAAGAAGACCCCTTAGAAGACGATGCGCCGCAGAAAGTCTCATCGAAATTATAGGAGTTTCGTGAGCTAAAGTGTTAAAATGTGCTGAAAGTAATTTCGCATTTTCTGGAGTGATATCTGGGTCCTCGATTGTGCGCATTTACTTAATAAAAATTCCAAGTATTTTGTAAATAAAATAAGGTAGTTTGATTGTTGAGCTTGCTATGCTTTCTTTCCGGATTCTGTTTTATTCAAAAGCGGTGAATCTCCAAAGATAAAGTAATCTCAAAAAAGGCTACACCATTTTTCCTACAAAAAGAATTACATTGCCCTTGTATAGCCGTAAAACATGTAATCTACAGGTTTACTTATCGTTTTCAAACTCTAGATTTTTCTTGAGATTACAACCACAGGTAGATCTCATTTTTACAACAGTGATGGCCGTTACCGGCTACTTTACGGATGTTCGTCGTTCTCGGATTCGACGGAAGACCGGCGTTGGTTTTCTGGAAGATTACTTTCTAAGAAGGTCTGCATCAGACTTTTCAAAACCAAAAAAAAAGTGCTATGAATTGTGGACAGCTAACTGATCTGTTAACCCAACCTTAGTTTTCTTTACGACTATCGTCATTACTATCAAAATTCGCTGCCTTTACCGAAATACAGGACTGTGTTGTTATACGTTTTGTTTTCCGTTCCTCGAGATTTATTGGCTGCCCGTTACTTTAAGTTCACGAAACTTTACAGCGAATTCTGACTCATTAGTTGTTACGAGGTCTTGGTTGCAGCTGAAGAAAAAACGAGTAGTTTGAATTGTTTTCTCGATAATTTGTAATGCTTTAGGACACTTCAAATGTGAGGACGCAACTACTCTATCTTTTTGGGAGATTTGAAATGAATATGTACATTCATTTGTGCATCAAATATTATAGGCGATTCCCATGCGTACAGCGGACGTGGCCCTGCAGACATTCCAACACGTTGGAAGACTTGTTAAACCTCCATTTTTAGGCATTAGTTTTTGTACTCTCTCGGTATCAAAAACTGCCACGCGGATACGTTGGCAAACATCGACAAAGCTCCGCCCGCTATACTATGGGGAATAGACAATACCATTTTACGGTCCAGGCATAAACGCGATTTCATCGCCTCACCATTCATCCGACAAGACAACTGTCACGAGTCCACTGCAAGCTGATCATCTTGAATTTCGATTGTGATAGTTAAAGGCAGTAGGTCGGCAGAATGAGACCCATGGCAAAACAAGGTCACAGGGTAGGAGCCTCCATAATGGAACCTATGGGCCAAAGTTCGATCTTTCTCTGCCACTTCTAACCCCCGAAATTTCAAAGCGAAAGCAGCGCTCATCTCATGTCCTCTCCGAACCCGCCCACCCCATGGACGAGTGACTTCCGCGGACAGAGCGCCAGCCGCAATGCTATAAGCATGAGGTCCCGCAACGACCCTGCGTCTTCGCCATGGCGGGCTTCGCGTTCACTCGTCCATGGGGTGGGCGGGTTCGGAGAGGACAGGAGATGAGCGCTGCTTTCGCTTTGAAGTTTCGGGGGTTACAAGTGGCAGACAAAGATCGAACTTTGGCCCATAGGTTCCATTAGGGGGCTCCTACCCTGTAACCTTGTTTTGCCACGGGTCTCATTCTGCCGACCCACTGCCTTTAGTCACTATCAGTCGTGTTGGAGAACTATCACAACCGAATTACAAGATGATCAGCATGCAATGGATTCGTAACGTTCTGTCAGGAGAATCGCGTGCGATGAATTCGAGTGATGATTGCCCGGCCCTTCAGGTTCACATCACGTGAATATTCAATTCGTCTCAATAAGACTTTCAGTGAGATTGAAGACTATCGAAGACTGCGCCTTTTGATAAATCTTATCGCTGGAATCGTCTTTTGTACCGGTCTCTACTATTTCGGCTGGAAAAGGCTGAACTTCGCCGATTTTGATTATATCTATGGTTTGAGTTTCCAGTGGTTCATGATATTATCGACCGCTTGTGCGTTTACGCTCAGTCCGGTAAGTTGAAAGACTCCGGGTGGGGGGGGGGGACTTTTTTCATACCTTGAAGCTTTACAGATGTTTCGCTGTGCTATGCTTTGCGTGTTATTGGGTTCGATGGGAAGGCAAGGCCAGGGTAAGCTTGGATAGACGTTTTACCGCCGACACGCTCTGCTCGCATGGAATCTGCCAAAAACAGTGCATCTCGTTATTCACAGCCAGTATCAGTTGTCATCGCAAACGGAGCATGTCACACAAAATCTCCTTCACACAGCACAAAAGTAGCAATAACGTCGTCTGGATGAAGCTCTTTCAAGCACCCCTCTCGCTTCTAATTTTGGACAACCTTAATGACGGGCCTATTTCCAACATTGTTGGCAACTATCAGGTTATTTTTAGAGCCATTTTACAAAATCTCAACATAATAATCGTGGTTCTGTAGAGAACCGCAGAAATTCTGTTGTGTCACCTAGAACTGCAAGCAAAAATTGCGTCCAATCGTGTGTCCATGCTCACTGGTCCAGTCGAAGCCGTTTTAGAAAAGGAGATTGGTGAACTGGCAAGGGCTTTTGCTCATATATTTGAGAGGCGAAATTTAGAAGTTGGACTGAACATGCTCAAGGATTTGGTGAGGAAGATTCGCAGCATACTAACGCCATTTATGGCAGATTTGAAGTCGTCGGAAACATCGGAAGATAAGAGTATGGATGAAAGAGATGTCCAACTTAACGTGAGCGGTTAATCTGTCTTCAGATTTGTCCCTACCAGCTGTTCCAGCGCCGTGCCAGCTGCATGCCACAGAAATCTATATGGTCGCATTGCTAACTAGATCAAAATCGCAGGCACACTTCTAGCAAGTGTCAGCATCGGCCCCGGCACGGCCTGAAACGGCGATGATAAGATTGGCGCAAGAGCAAACTGGGCTAAGCTTTACTTATTTTCTATACACCTGAATCTTCTAGAATTTCGCGCAACGCCAAGCTGTGTACTCTTTGATGAAAGAAGAGTCAGAAGAGGAGAAACGAAGAGAAGAGGAACTATCAAATCATACTGCTAAAGAAAAAGTTGAAAAGTTATTGAAGAAGAAACCATCATGGGCGGAATTCAAGACCAGTGTAAGAGAACCATGGACTTTTGGCCAAGCCTAAAATATCAAAATTTTATAGCAAGGTCGACATATAGCGAAGCGTATATCAAAAAGATGTAATGACATTTTTGTGAAAGGTGTGGACAAATGTCGCGACCTCATGTCATCCGTTAAGGTCTGCCATTCTTCTGACATGGTGATTGTCATAAAATAGTTTTTGCAGGACAAATGCTATCAAGCCATGCCCTGGTTTTTGATGTTTTTCGTATGCCCACGGGTGAATGCAGAAGAAGCTTGTAATGTATGTCACTACAATTTCACTTCATTGAAAAAAAACACTTCGGGGTACTAATTTCTGCTGTGGGGTTTTCAAGATAATGCGGCTCGGTGGGCTATGCGCCCCTTCGCCTAGTGCTTGACTGCCACACCTCAGCTCCTTCCTCTAGGGACTTCTGCGATTGCGGGCGAGCCCATGCCCGCAATGGAGCGTTACGCCAACCCCCAAACAAACAACATAAATAATATCTCGCCCCGGGCTACTGATGGGGACGCTTGCTCACTCATACTCTCTCCCTTCACACACTCTCGTGCTCTCCCGACTTCCAAGGAAACTGACCCAGAGATCGGCCGCATTTACCGCCGAGGCAATAGCGGCTGACACCGGCCCCGCTGACGTTACTCAACAACTTTAACCCAGCTCTAGAACATGTCCTGCTCGTCCATGCACTACTAGGTGTTCAGCGTCCTGATGTTCATCCTTGCGCGTCCTTCAAAATCTAATCGTCAAACCATACACACGCGCAAGTCGCGAGAACGCAGACGCTATGTCGATATTACAAAAGTCCAGCTGATTAACAACACGAGCGATATGAACAAAGGTAGAGGTAAAAAAGCCACAATGGCGCGCGCGTGCGCTATTTACAGCCGAGGCAGCGAGCGTGCCTGCGTAGTGGTCCGGAAGCGAATAGGATAGCAGACGGTAAAACGCCGCAACCTTGCTCACAACCGAACTGCGCGGCATCACGGTGCCTCCAGCCACTCGTTGAGAAAAGCGGTCGCTCGCGAGCCAAGACACAAGATGTTTGGTTTTTGTGACTTCTATCATTAGAAAGATTGTAACACGGGTTTTTTTCTCAGCTATACGACAAACTGATATGCTGTTTTTTGATGCATCCATTCGAACACCTTAAATTCTGCGTGTAGAACTCGGCCTTAGAAATTTCACAATTCAAATCATAATCCAGATCCAGCTACGTTTGTTTTGTATGCTTTGCATGAGATTGAAGCTACGAAGAACTCGATTTGCTTTCAAATGACACTAGGACCGCATGGATTAACATCCCCGCCGGGGAAGAAGTTGCGGCTCAAAAAGCTTCAATCCTGAAGCTCCAAACTTCTGATTTCACGCTGTCTATTTATCCAGTAGCTCATCCTTCACTAACGTATTGAACAGAAGCGGAAAGCCGTACATACCGCATTTTCCAGCTCTTTGCATGATCCCCGATGATCTCCGGCGGCCAACCGTCTTTATTCGAAATCGTCTTTCTTTCTTCGAAGCTAACGAAAAGCTTTCAAAGCTGTACAGATTATTAACTTAGCAGTGTTAAGCATGCTGCTATAGGAACAAACTATGTATTGCAGTCATGAAATCTGCGCTGAACCACAAGTCGAAATTAGGGGGTTATCGAAAAATTCGATATTTCGAAAACTCATTTGTTTTTATCAGCAGCATGCTTGGCACTATTGGGTTAGATGATCGGCACACTTTGGAATTTCGTTAACTTCGAAGAAAGAAAATGACTTTCAAGAAAAGACGGTCCGCCGCCGGGGATCACCAAGGGAACACACATAAGCTAAAAAATGCGGGTTATACAGCTTCTCGCTCCTGTTCAATATGATCTTGGTGAATTATAGTAGGGATACTTACGGATAGGTAGACAGCGTGGGGTCTACATATCTGGAGCTTCAAGATATGAAGCTTTCTTTTAAACTGCGATTTGCTCACAAGCGGGGATGTTAATGCATGCGGCCCTAAGTCTAGCTAATTTTTGAACCTGCATTACAGAGAGCTTGCATGAATAAGTGGTATAAAGAGATTGCCAACATTTTCTTCCCTGTCTCGTGCCATCCAGTGTAGCATCCCCTTCCCCTCTTCCCCCTCCCCCCCCCCCCCCACCTCGATCAAGACTTCCTATCATAAAACTGCCAAACTAATAGGTTGGCACATAAGTTTTGCAACCTTGTCCATAACTTCGTTCTCTATGAATAAGGCGCATCCAAATTTTGGCATTATGTAGACTCGGAAGTGCGCTATAAATCTGCGCAAACCGTTTGATTTTTCGTGGCAAAATGGAAAAAATCTGCGTATTCTCCTAAAAGCAGTCAAAATTGAGGTTTTGTGGTTTTTTCAACAAAAATGAAGACCTACAGAAAGTAAGTCAACCAAATTCAGCTGGAACTGCAGGCAAAATGTTCTGAGAGGGTGGCTACTGAACCCAGCGAAAAAAGAATCGTGATTCATTGTTAAATCGAAACCTGGCGATTTCATAAACTCGAACAAATCGAATGCGTCAAAGTAGCTTGGATAATTCATCATTGCCAAAGAGTCAGAATTGTCGGATTTTGGCGAAACTCTGCACGATGGGGTAACTTGACATGCTGAATACGAATATCATATTCAATTGTTGTCAGAGTCAAAAATTAGCCCAGTGGTTTTTTGTAATTCAATTTTTCGTAGCAAAATAATTTTTTCAAGCAAAATGAATATCATTTTCGTAATCAGGATGTCGAATAACCCCCTTATACCAAGTTTCACCCTAATCCGTTTCAATTCCTTTTTCTTTCCCATTTAAAAATTGCCTTACCGTAACTCTCGAACGTGATGTTGGAATACGGCAGGAATGGCTGCTTTCGCTGTTCACATGATACTCATTATAATACCTGAAGATAGAAGCGCCACATCGCAAAACACACGAGTTATAAGAAAAAGTTGCAAAACTTATGTGCCAACCTAATAAATTCAAGGAAAGTGGAAAAGTCAACAATACTTATTCGACCATATTTCATTGCATACAATTATCAAGTCTTGGTTGTTGAATGACATTCAATATCATAATTATTCGTCATAGCCTTCAAATAGCTACAAAGCTTTCGTAAAAATATGTGACCAAACTCTCGCATATTTTTGATGAAGTTCATATTTAATGAACTGATCATTTAAGATAATGGAACGACGTACAAAGTCCCTGTCAGTCTGCCAGAAACATTTGAAAAATGCCCAAATGAGTGGTCAAATGGAAGGAGATGTCAATGACGTTATAAACATAACCGATAGTTTGGATGATGAGCTTCAAGCCAACGTAAGACTTCTTCCTGCTTTCTTTTGATAAATCAAAGGTCTCATTGAAGTTACACATGTTGCTTGTGGAAATGCCAAGATTGGAAAATGTGTTCAAAGTCACTGAATTGAAAATGTTTGCCACTATGGGTGCAAATTACGTAAAGGTCAAAATAAGCAGGACAGATATTCGAAAACAGTGCTTTGCTTTTTAGATTGTGCTGAAAACAGTGTCAAAAGTTGTTCAAGCATTGTTTATCTTTTTTGTTTACACAATATTTCGCGATGCTGTCAAAATGATCGAAAATTACAAAACCGATGTGGATTTCAACAATCGTTTCATAACTGGGCAAGTTTTCAAAGTATTTCAAATTTATTGGCACCTGTATTTTCTCCAAATCGTTTCTCCTTTATAGTTTTCGTCAATCTGAATTTCTGTGTTTTACAGCGTATTTTGGCAAATCGACCACCATCGTGAATTACTCGGTCAGCAAGCAATTCGATATATTTCGACTGCTGAAATGCGGGAATGGAAGCTGTTGAGGTTTTTCAGGTCCTGTAAAAATCATAGCATTAGATACCCAATACGAGCCATCCAATTTGTAGAAGGATGACCACTGCCTTTTTTTCCAAATCAAAAAATTTTTTCAACAATTACCTTGAGAAGTGTCACTCAAATCCCCTTTGATTTAACTGGATGCGGCTGGAAGGCGGGGCTTCGCGACCTAGCCGAGGCTAGGGAAAAATCAAAGAGCACTAGCGCGAGAGAGACGCAGACTGCAAAGTCACAAGCCCCTGCCTTCTAGCTGCCAATCCAGTTGAATCAGAGGCTATGTGAGTGGCGAAAAATTGAATTTAAGATATGAAGCTCTTGGTTACCTATCCTATCTAAATGTTATTCATCTAATTTGTTATCCGTTTTGAGAATAGAGATGAGAGACAGGAATCCATGAAATCTCAAGAAGCAGATTCATTTTTCGAAATTAGATTAGGATTGCAGAGTATTCTGATCACATCTTTAAAGTTTGTCTCATAAGTATACGTAACCTTTAATTCAGCTGGCTTGGCGGCCGGAAGGCGGGGCTTTGTAACCCAATTAAGGTTGGCAGCGCCCGCGACGCAATCTGCGTCTCTCCCGCGAGCGTGCTCTCTAATCATTACCTAGCCTTAATTAGGTCAAGAAGCTCTGCCTTCCAGCAGCCAAGTCACTCGAATCAAAGGGTAATTCCTACACGACATTTGAAGCCTAGCATTTAGCCTTCAATTTTGTGATTTTGCCTCACTCTCACACCTCAAAAAATCCATTTTTAGCCCTCCTACGCGCGGGGAACTGAATCAAGCTAGATTTGCACTGATGACTTGGTTTGTTGCTGCCTTCGTTGCTGCTCTGTTGATATTCATGGATTATTACCTGTACGCTTTCCTTAATGCGGTAAGTATGGTCCTTGAAAAGCTGCACTTAGAGTCGTCCGTGTCAGCATCGTTCCAGCGCTGTGCTAGACCTTCACGCAAAGCATCAGATACTAATTGATTCAACTCCGCTAGCACAGTTCTGGCACGGCGTTGGACCTCGCTGGCACGGCGCTGGCACAGGAGTAACTTCAAGAGCAGCCGGGAAAAGTGAATGTAAAAAAATCTTTAAAGGTTGTATCTGCATCGCATACAAAAATAGAACAACTTGGTTCATCAAGTGCTGCTATTATGGTAAGAAGCTGCTTGCGATGTTGCTTGATGAGTCACCAAATTATCTCCGAATAATGTGCTCTAGGTGGAGGGAGAAGGTGTAATAGCAAATTTTGTTCGTGGAATGATTGCTGATAATCGTACGGTAGAAGTTGACAGCGTGCGTCGTATTTGCATTTTATTTCTTCATTGTTGAAAATTGACGAACTATAATTTTTATGATTTGCAGAGTATGACAAATGCGCACTGTTTGATGCCACCACAGAAACCAGATTTTGCACAGATTTTTACTTGGATAGCTCTTCCATTGATAGCTTCGTTACTTATGCAGGTACATATAGTCATTCGTGCCAGGTTGTTCCAACGTCGTGCCTATGCGCGAACCATGCGGAAGACATGTGTCAACCCTAAACCGTCTTCAACGCGAGTTCCGCCACTGCTTTGCGCACTACCTTCCCGCTTGTGCAAATTCATGCTCTAATGCAAAATCCATGATTGACCGTGCCAGCGTCGTTCCAGCGTCGTGCCAACGTAGTTACGGAGCTGCCGGCAGAAATCGATCAATTATCAGGCATTGCAGGCACATAAGTTTTACTACGTTTTACTACTCGCGCGACGTTGGCACTTTGCTGACACGGCGCTAAAACGGTGAGGGCACAGCGTTGGCACACGAACAACTCTTGTCTTCCTAAATGTAAAGTGATGTGGCGGAGGAAAGTAAGAAGAGCATGGCAATTAGCTATGTGGTCCCACCACGAAACCATTACAGGTGCTGTTCGCTTATATTGTTAAAAGGGTGATTATCAATCACTTTATGCCGTTTATGTTTCCACTGAGAGACCGCGTTCGCATAATCTATCTGTACAATAAGGTAAATCACTAATAAAAAGCTATTTTTTGATTTATTGATTTTTCCAATTTACAGGTTCTTCTTCAAAGACTGAAACATCGCAAAGAAGCTCGGGCACGCATACGTTTTATGGTTGATAAATGGAAAATCAATGAGGAGACCGATGAAGAGTATGCACCAGAGAGGAATGGCTTTCTTGAATGTTCACCAAAGCGGCACGTCTCTTATTGGTCGAAGTCGGCAGTCAGCAATCTGTCGCTTGAGTCCGCGCGGTAGAGTATAAACACCTCGCGCGTTCCCAAACCGCGCAACAACCGGAATAGAGTAGGCTTGCTTTCATCTTTAAGTATATGTGCCATTTAGTGGTTGGCTATCATATCGATCCTGGTTCAAGCTGCATGTTCTTGATCGTATATTCAAAACTGGGCAGTGCTTGATGTGCCAGGTGAGCACTGCAATTTTTTGGAAAGTTGGAGCCAAGTAAAGTCCACTCATGGACAAAGATGATGCCAAAAGAAATGGCCTTCAACGCATACGCCTTTTTTCGATTTCTCCTTCAGAATTAGGTCGCTTACACACATAAAACAATCAAAAATTCAGAGTGAGCTTGTTGAAATCCATAGTTCCTCTGGATCATAACAGTAAGTAGACGCGAGATTCACTTTTGTTTGCGCGTCTCGCCATGGCTGCGTCCAAGTTGCGCGTGCGCTGGGGCCGTGCAGCTCCGTTCCAGCACCGTGCCCAAACCCGCACACGTCTCGTACTGTTCGATCGACCTTCCGGCATAATGCAAGTTTGGACGCAAACTCAGAAAGCTTTTTTATCCTTTTTCCAGCTTGTCATACTGGAACTATCCTTGCTTATTTACGTTGCACTTGTAACCGCAATGTTCATGTAAATCGAAACATAACGAAAAGTACTCCCAAAGACATCTGGAAAACTGACTTCAGAGCTTACAAATATTCGTTTCAATTTTTTAGCAAAACATGAAACCAGCAAAGCTCTATTTTTGTGTGGAGTGTCCAGCAACTTTCTGCAAATATTGTCTAGCAGAAAATGGCTATGAATGTTATGCGTGCCAGGTATTCAAGTGTAATTTACCTAGGGACTCACTTGAAATAGCAATTTTTATAGGTGGAGGAGGGTCTTGTTAACACAGAGAGAAGCATGGTTATGTATGCAGTATGTCCTAATTGTTTTGGTAATAAAATATCTCTACAAAAATTTTTCCAATTTCTAGGAAAAAGACAAAGCCACTGAACGTTTTGTAAAGGGCAGATCACCAAGAAAGGTGATTTCTGATTTACAATAAATGTTGTAGCTCATCAATGCCTTTTAGGTTGGGTCGTCAAAAGCAGAATAAACCATAACAAATATAGTTAATCTATACATAAAAAATCCACAACATATTCTTCTGTTAATAAAATTGTTATGCGTTTGTCTAGTGTATGTACCAGGAGTAATTAGAATTTTTCATGGGTGTGAAGAGGAGGGAGTAAAGAGGACATGAATGATTTTCTAGATAGAATGGAGCATGGATACCAATCCTTCCTCGAAATTTTACGGTTCATAGAAAGTTCTACAGGTTTGAGGGTAGCCCTTCCCAAAAAACAACCAGCAAATCTAAATTTTGAAAACTAATAAAAGATTTTTTGGGGTGGGAAGTTGGAAAGAGGAGTGTGACACTTATTGGGGTTCTTGAAGTCTTGAGCAAATTGCCGCTTTTTGCAGGGTTTTCCGTGTTCATTCCTTAAACTTATAATAAATTTTATTTTCTGGATATAGACCAATCTGACCCTTATCCAAAATATTATATTACAGTACCCTCCAATTACCAGAAGTCCCCCTCCCCCGCCTCCCTCTGTGCAAACTCTTGCATTTCTATCGTCGTAGTAAGTGCATGCTCGCCTGGAAAGCCTCTTCTGAGAGCGTAATTGAAGTCATTAAGACGCAAGTGCATAAGTGCAAAGATTTGCACTAATCGTGCAAGCAATCGCAATTTTTAGCCATATCGCATGAATTATTTAACCAAGACACTCGGGTTCTTATATCGCGCAGGACTGACTCATTGAAATTGTATGCAAAAAGTCTGGATTTTCTCTAGCTTAAGGAACAGATGTAAATCACTGTTGCTGATTATCCTTGACCATAAATAAATTTTATTTCAATTGTAGTAAAATTATCCAGATCATAGAATAGTACTGATTTAGTGTAATTTTCCTCTTGTTGCACTATCCACAACGTTTGCGCGTATCTGTTACGCCGGGTCACAAGCAAGTATTGCTTATCAGCATTTGTCCTACGCAAATGTTGCTGGCTGCGCAACACTACATTTACAGTCGCATTTTCTCCCTTGTGCAAGAAAGAATTTTGTAAAAACGTGCATAGCTAGAAAATTAGTAACTCGTCCCTGCAAAAATGGCCAGTTACGTCATTCAGCGCTACTTACATTCGTACTTCAAGTATTGCAGAAATTTCTCCTCTCCTCAAGTTCACTTGAACTTTTGCAATCGAGTATACACGCACTTCAACATCATTTCGTCGTTGTACTTGTATTTGCAGCTATCTTCTCACAAATTCTGCGGATGGAATCCTCTCTGGTCTCACTTACATGCTCTGTAATTATAGCAACGATGCGCGTAGTAAACTTGGCTTAATGGAAAGTTTTTACTATGTTGTTGGACATTTTACACTTTGAAAAATCCTCAAATCCAAACTTCTCATTGTTCAAGGCATAGTTGAGGGGTATGAATGTCTACTCATCCTAATAATTTCCTCACCTGGCCAAAGCAGACAATTGTCTAAAAGTGACTCGCTCATCGCTCAACGTTACGTAGTTGGCTAATTGGATACTCAGACAACTGACCGGAACTTCCGGAGAACGTTTGATAGAGTTGCCGAGTTGCCTGCGGAAGTTCCCGAGGTGCCGCGGAAGTTCCGCAAACGTGCTAAGGAAGTTCCAAAATGAATTCTGCAATTGCGAAGAATGCGAACCACAACAGCAAAAGAGAACACCTAAGCGAGAATCGAACCTTGATTTGTTGTATGAGACTCTCTAAAAGACTTACTAATCCTCTGCGCTACGGATTCGACAAAGTGCTGCGGAACCGCCGGCATTCTTGAGAGCTCCGCAGCGCTTCGTAAAAGGTCGTGCGGTAGCTCAAGTTTTCGACCAGTCTGACGTGAAGATCCTGACCGAAACTCCCATTCTCAACATTTCTACTTTTAAAATAGTAAACAAAATCCTGCGGAATCGCTGCAGATTTTGCTTTTATTGCGGAAGCTCTGTTGAATTGTCTGTTTATTATGAAATATTGAAAGGTTACAGAATATCTCTACATAAGAGAGAGTTTATAAAACAGATAATGTCTTTGAATGGTGGAGAGAGGCTAAATGAGTCATAAACCATGTGGGTGTTGTTATTTTTGATTAGCACAGATACCTCTATATAGTGATTGAATCAACTTTGAAAAACCTTTTGTTGACCTGGTCTCCCATCTTTCTCTTTTCGCCGGGTCACAAGCTCAGAAAACTGAAGCTGCTAGCAACTTCCCGTCTAGAGACTTTACTTACCTTCTCTTCAATTTAAAAAGACTATCCTTTGGATGCCATTGAATTCCGATGATTTGAGATGGTTATCGAAAAAATTTTCAAGCTTGTATCCAGAAGATCTTTAAACTGTAAGTAATTTCGGTCAATTTTGAGTCTCCCATAAATGCTGCAGACAAATTTCTGACTAGTGATGAGAACTGGAATGTAAATGCTGATTAAATATCAATTTTTTCTTATGTAGAAAATGGACAAAGAAGTGAAAAGCCCCAACATCCTCTTTATGCACAAACGTGAAAAAATTTCGATTTTTCAAGCAAAGAATTTCAAAGTGGTGAATCACAAATTCAATTATTATTTTCTAAATAGAAAAGAAACACTGCTATATCCAAATGTTAATTTACTCCTTTCTTTGTCGACTGCAGCATGAAAACGAAGCCTGCGAAATTTCAGAACTCAGTTTAGGAAGGCCATATTGAAGCATAATTATCTTTATTGATGTAGAAACTCTTGATTGGTTGACTTGTGATAGTAGAAGCTTTGATCTACGTACCCTCAACAATCCACGGATATAAAAGCTACAAGAAAACTTTTTGTGGAAGTTTTCATGAAAAATCGGAACTAGTTCTTAGATAACGTAAAATTTAGTTTTTGATTCTCTCCAGCAGAGTTTTTTTTTTTCATTTTTGATTTTGAACAGAATTGCTGAGCAAAGTTTTATATCTATATTTTCTGCCACCATAGATCACTTCCATCAGTGCGGAAGCATTTTTTGCTTATTTTTTTTCAAACTCACGCCTATCACTCATTTGCTCACCACCCGCTACTATTCTATTTGTTCTTGCCGCTTTTCTTCTGACGTCAACGCCGGATCCCACTCATATCCTAAAATTGCACTTTTTCTACATATTTGCTGTTTTTTGGAGTTCGAGAAGCTTCTCCGAATGTAATGAGAATTTATTCTTGTTTGCAAATTCGCTGAATAAGTTATGCATTATTGCGTATACAGAAGTTAGCGAGACACTCTAGATTTCTTAAGACCTACTTTTTCCTAAGATTCTGTTTACATTCAATCCCTCTAACGCTAAAATCGTGCATTGGGGAACATCAGCTAGTAAAAATTATCGCGAGCTGTTACATGACAGGTTCCATTTGTTCCATTTATACAAGCCACGTATTTCAGCTCTTTATTTATTAGCGCTGATAAGTTTTTTCAAACATTTTTTCCTTGAATTGTACAGTAGTATATTGTATTGTACATCTGTGTTAACAAATGCATACCCTTTTTAAAAAAATCGGCACTTTTCACGAAGCTAGATTCCTTGCTAAATTTCGAAAAAACTGTCACTGCATTTTTTTCTCAAGCTTATACTATAATTTGTTGGTTTAGAAAACTGCAATGAAGTGTGCATTTGCTATATCATTCCTTTTAAATGCAAGCGAACCTTTAGAAAATATCGAATTAGATAATGTGGGAAAATCCAAGAATCCTTTGTGACGACAAGTTGTCGTGCATGAGAAATGAAACTTACGATGATATTAGAGGAAAGTTGAGAGATTCTCAATTTTTATCTTTTTAAAAGCTTGAAAAAATAAAAGGGGTGAAAAAGAATAAAAAAATAATATTAAAATGAAAGGTTGTGAAAAAGAGTGTTCAGATGTTTTGTGAATTCTTCTGTTAAGGATGAATTTATCTAAATTTATAGAATCATAACTAATATTAATGA